CAATTATGATTAAAATTAATCACACATAACATTTTAATTCCCCCTTTATATAAGGTATTGTCTATTGTCTAATCATATTCAATAAATTCAGGTAAGTCTAACCTGAGAATAATGACTTGATAACAATACTGTTCATGCGAATTTTTAAGTACCTACCCGAAAATAGTTATTTTTATTTTTTAACTTTCTTAAGAGGGCACCACACCCTCATGTGTTTTCTCYATCTTACAAGTACATAACACCGAACAAATAAAAACGATATTGCACAGACRAAATTCTCCTTTTTATGTGGTGAAATTTCGTTTTTTATTTATGACTGTAGCTTTCTGGGTTGTTTCYCGCGTGAAATAGTTTTTGCTATGTTACGAACTTGTTAGACGGTGACAACACATGCGGGTGAGGCGTCCTCTTAATTCATGATATTTTAAATCGTTTAATACTTCAAAACGGATTTTTCGTAGCACAATTTTGTAACCGTGACGTCCAATGACGTTGACGTTTTACGTCATTATTTATATTGTTTATCAACCAGGTGATATATAGAACACCCTGTATACGCGTCATTTCTTATACTTAACTATACTAATCGTAGATAGACAAATGAGTCTRTGCACCCAACGACCGACAAGCACCGCAGTAAAAGACAGATAAATATTACACGAGTGTTTTATAATTTATAGGCAGTGCAATAATTAACGTGTCTCGCGCGTTGCWGTAGATGCGCCATTAAGCATCGCGATTCGACCGTGTATTGGATCGATATTTTAATTATCCAACACAATAACGACAACAACAGTGCRAATCCGTTAATGACCGAACGAAACGCGCGACGGGATGCATTTATACGCGTGCGAAGAATCACATTGCCGAAACTGTTTTTCAACGACATGCAATGATTTCTCGCGCATATAATATTAATATTATGTCTATACAAAAAGCGCTGTCGGCGAGCCACACCTATGCGACATTTACGTGATGTGTTTAGTTTATACGTGTTATCGCGTTATCGTGTTATCGTGTTATCGCGAATAGTTCAAGGTCTTGTTGAATGAGTCGCGGTGATTATAATATTAATTGTAATTACTTCGGGTCGCGATCATCTATCGTCGTTTACGCGGCGGCGCGTCCGGAAATTCGGCACAAAAAAAATGTTCAAAACGCTTCGCCTGCATAATCGGGTCACGTCGTCGGGTACCGTCGAGTAGAGGGATGCACCCGCTATTGATCGGCGGGCGCGCGCGGTCGGGTTGACGGGAACTCGCGCAGCACACAATCCAAGTGCGGCAGCGGCGGCGGTGGGAACGCTCAACCGGCAGACAAGTGCGTGGGTCCCGGCGACGGGGCATCGATGCACATTTCAGTCGAGCGCACTCGGCGAGCGGATGGTGGGAAGGGGCGTGAGAGACGGGCCAAAGAGCCGGCCGGCCGGCGATCAATATTTTGGTCATATAGCAGCGCGACGGCGGCGTGCAACGTTGTATACATAGCGCGATGCGACGGCATGCAACGTTGTATAACGACGGCTGTGGAGGTATAGCGCACCCACATGAGTATTGGATGGGTGGATGAGTAGGTGGGTGTGCACGAAGCGAGGAATAGGGGTGAAAAGGAATRGAAAAAAAAATTTCCGATGAAAAATTTCTCTGATAGTGACCGATCCTCGCAGCCCGCAGCAATATGGCGACAATCGGCAACCATGTGTTAAGGGCAGGAGGTTGGGGTTTGAATTCAAATGCCAAAACATTAAAAGGATTTTAAAAAAAAAATCTTAATCGGTTTTGAAGAGGAACAGAATGGTTCGAGCGAATGAGTATTCTGGTGCGGGAGAGGGGATGAGGACGCTTTTCGTGGTTGGCGTAGTCGGGCGGGCGGGCTGGCGCGAGAGCTTTGGGTGCCAAGCACGCAACTCCGGGCGACCGCGGGGGGGCCGGCGGGCGGTACCCTAAACACGCCCGACTGGGCGTCATTTTGTTAGCCRAAAACGGAGCGCGCACACTCGATTGACGACACTACACACGCCGGCGCCGCCCGGCCCACCGAAAATAAAAACGCTCGAGGACCAGTTAAAACCCCCCCAAAAAAAAATTTGACGCTTCAGCCCAGGTTTATTTCGCAGCATGCGACGGCATTTAAAGCTGAGTAAAAACACGTTCGATTTTCAGGACAAATCGACACATGAAGCGAGAAGAGGTTTTGTCTTTCCACAACTATAGGAAATACAACACTAACGAAACAAAATTCAATTTAATATGTTTATTATATTTCTAATATTCGTGTCTTATACAATAAATAACAATAAATATCGATCTGTGGACGCGGTATTATTCTTTATTCGTAAGATATAAAAATATAATGAATTCGATGCATTCTATGAACGGAAAATCGATATCCAAACACATTGCCATTGTCGCGTCGGCAAAACGTTACACACGTAATAATAAWAATTTCATATTATTATTATCATATCGCTGTCGTCAATTTAAACAAACGCACTCGCGCGCGCGCACACACACACGCACACACACACACGGGAGAGACTTATATTATTATTATTGACCTTCGTCGTGTTCYCGTTTGGCACATACACGGCACATACAAGCACGTTGCCATCGATAAACGCGCGTCTGCAGTGTATTTTTGTTTAKGATATCAATAAAATATTACACTCATAATATTAATTTCGTAGTCTCATAACTATTATTATGATTTTATGCAATCAAACCGATATTTTTTGTCGAAATCCAATATTGTTATATTATATTAGAGTCCAGCGCACAATAAGAATGACACAATGCATATCTATTCTATCGTTATTATATATCATATAATATAATGTTGTATAATTTGTGRTTGAAACAGTCGCATATGCAACGTAACACGAATTTCGTATGACCAACAACACTTTCATTGAAATCTGGTCGATTACTAGTATAGTACAGGGTTCAGGGTACTAAGTAAAATCTAGAAGACGCCTCGTTGAAGACGCGACGAAGGTTAAAACAACGAAAGGAAAAGTCAAGTTTTAAATTTTGTATGATAATTTTGTCGGTTTAACCTACAAAAGGGACAGCCGTCAAAACCGACCAAAACACGAAACTAACATCACCCAATTAGAGACGTGTTTAAATAATAAAACTACCAGTCTAAATAGAACAATAAAGTTGACCAATTAAAAGCATAGGTACTTAACGAGTTATGGCTGCGGGACAGACTAAACACAAAAATTTAATATTTCAAAAGCAATAGAAAAACGTAATAAAAACGTAATAGCGAATAAAAATAAAAAGTATAATATATTTTTATAGGCGAATTCCATTGTTTCGTCGAAACCCGATTAATTGATATTTCGTGTCTCAATAATCTCAAAACGCAGTTGGTAAGWATTGACTACTACCATTAACTCTAATTATGGCAATGCATGTCCTCGACCGAATGGAAAGTAAATCTACATAAGGTCATTAAATATTTATTATSAAATAAGGCAAAAATACATTTAATTCCATCAAGAGTAGACATTTATTAAAACAATTATAAATGTGTTAGAATTATTAACAAATTATATTTTAATTTAAAATTATTCGGAGTGAAAATAAATTTATAGTATTTATTCATTCTAAAACTCTGTTATCATCAGCATTTGATAAATAGTATAAAAAACATGAAATAACAACCAGTTCCGTTAAAAGATAAAATGAAAACTTATCGCAAAACATAATTTAATTTGCATACCTACCTACTTGTATCAATGAATCGCTAAAAAATTATGTACCGTAGTATTGCATAACAATTGTACATAATAAAATGAATTAATGACTGACGTTCAATGATAATTCACTATATACCGCGCAAATATTATTTGACTAAAGGAAAAATTAATTTTTAAATAATAATTGAAGAGAACAAGAAGACTATCTACAGTCGGAAATCAAAATTGTAAGCCGAGTAATTTAACTTTAAACTGATAATCATTGTGCATGAATTAATCTATTAGGTATTGAGTACGTTACAACGAAAATCACATTATCATAATAAATATTTATCAACGTATTAAGCACAATATCGTTTCGAATATTATATCAAACGAAGAATTGTTTTTAAACACCAAAAGTAATTAGATCAATAATAATAATTGCTAGTCCTTGTATACCGAAATTGTATTACTGTCGAAAACATAATAATATACAAATGGACGACGGCAGGGCAGGAAATGTCAAAAACAAAACAATCTTTACATACATCCTGTGCAGAGGATTACGACGTGTACTTAAATAAATTATTCTATAAATACACACGACCTTGGGTAAATTTTTTTATCAATTTGTGGTCGAGTAACGTATATATCATATATATATATTAGGTGGCGGCGGTAAGATATGGAGGGTTTAGGAAAAAAAAAATACAACGAAATGGAAGTGAGCACTAACGTTTGTTGTTGTTGTTCTTATTGTTATTATGCCAGTTTATGCCTAATCGAAATATTAATATTCTATTCGTCTAACCAGCCAGTCGAACAGAGTTGGTCGATGAAAGTTTAACTACACAAACCTACTGACCGATCCGAATAATATTTCGATTTGATYCTTAATGCGACCATTGTACAAATAAATAAAAAACTAACCTTCTCTTTTTCGCAAGACGAGAACGAGACAAATAAAAACACAGAAGTGTATTGATATGATATTATATTAATTAATAATTATTGTTGCGTGTAGCGTACTAGCATGATTGATATTTTATAAGTGGCAGAATTTTTGATGGGACTCGATCCGTCAAGTGCTTTGGTGTAATAATATATGCGCGTTTTCGATCGTCGGGAGGAAAAGAAACCGACGCACCGGAAACGGTTCATCAACGGAAACACATCAACAACACGACGACGGTATTACACGAAAGGACGGTGGGCAAACATTTTTGATGCGCTTCCCCACGCGTTCAATTATTAATAAAATATATTTAAAAAATTTCTCTGAATCATTATGAATCATAAGCGWGTACGTTACCTTTACGTGATAGGAGTTGAGCATGTGCCGAGGTAGCCGATTGAATGTGCTGAAGTCCAGACGGCGGCAAAATATTCCATTGCCATTCATGGATGACTGCCTGCGTGACAAAAAAACGGTTCAAAATTATTACATATTTGTATTATTATTTTTATTATTATTATTATTATTATTATTATTATTATTATTATTATTATGTTACAATAAACATTAGACAGTCGTAGTTAAAAAAAAAAAAATAGTAGCAATAATAATGTTATAACGAGACGGATAACAGGACAAAAAAAAAACCGTACGCGCCACGCAATGACTTGCACACGCAAGCGCGCGCGTTGTCGATTATCGGAATGGATAATAATAATAAAATATCATAGGGAAATGGCAGACCGGGGGAAAAGGAAGAGGTCTTAACCTAGCCCAACGGACGGCGCGTTGTCAGGTGCGCGATCGCCGCCGGACGTGCGTTTTCGTTTTCACGGTGTCTATCATATTATACATAGGGAGTAGGAGGAAGACGAGGAATATAGACAGCGGCCGTAGCAGCGGTGTTAGTCTTTTATTATTATTATAATTTTTATAATAATTACCACACACGACGCGCGGCTGACCCTCCCCCTTACGACCGATGAACGGAGGTTTTTATTTTAATTACCGTAGCCGATATTCATAAAAAGATAATAATAATAATATTCAATTACTATTCAATTAACGCGTGATTTACCTCTCGCGGTATTCTCGACTACGTCCACGACACGACGACTATTTTTATAGTAAACCGCTTCGTCGAGGTTTCGGTGTGTATCGTCGATTCAGCGTTCTATTATTTACGTCGTAAAAATAAAACTCGCGCCACACACTGTGATGTGGACGACACAGCGATTTTTATCGTCCGCGGTAGTCCTGTTTTGAGTCCTCTTGGAACGTTTGTAGGTCATCGGTCGGTCTCTCTCACTCACACAAGCAAAATCTCGATAAAAAATAATCATTACGTAATAAAAGTATATAATACCTATACACAATGATTATTATAAAAAAAATTTAAATTAATAATATGACAGCCACCACGGACACGGTGAGGACGGGCCGACCCTACCACTCAATCTATTACATGTTCTCTGGGAAAAACTGGCATACCAAGTGTGTTCAGTTAGTAGTTATAGCGTCGAACGAGAGAATTCAAACCAACGGCAACGTAATATTTTGTGCGTTGACGACACTATCGTGTTTTGAATTACCACCGGCCATAAGCCCGCGTCGTCATTCATTTGGCTTTCGTTTGTTTTTCAACCGGCGACACACCAGCATTTCGTAAGAATAATTTATAATAATAATAGTGATTATCGTCGAAAATCATATTTTATTCACAGTGGTTATCGAGACGTGCGAATCGTAAACAGATTTATAATAATTAATACGTAATTAGAAGAAAATTAAAATTCTTGATTTATTTAAAACGCAAAACGTTTTACCGCACGCGATTTCTGTGTCGTGCTGCACTGGCACTATTATTGCAGTTAATACTGCAGTTCCGTTTCTATTCCCTTCGATATTTTTCATTAGGTAGGTACATATGAAATCGTTTGAACACGTGTGACATTATGCAGATTTTTCAATATTTAATGGCATTTTCAATTTCCAAACAATGCGATGGCGTAATAATATTTATACATTAATATCGTATACCATGATATTATATGTTAYTAAAAATTCGTTTTCTGTGCCGCGATCGAAACGAATGAGAGACAGAGACTACGCGAGACGCGAACGGCGCACACTGTAGACAAACGGGTGTGGTCAGCGCGAACGTTATTATCATTAATGTATAACATAATATCCGTACAGAGTACGAGTACGGTTACAACATGGATGGAATATTATATTATTACAGTCTGTCAGTCAAACGATTCTCTCGTTAATATTGATTTTGAAGTGCGCGCCGTCGCCGACCGAGATACATTTTACGCTGTACAGTGTACACACACACACACATACACACACACACACATACACACACACATACACACATACATACATACATACATACATACATACATACATACATACATACATACATACATACATACATTCATACATACATACATACGATTATCGAGCTGGTAATAATATATTTCGTCGATCGGAAGGGAGGTGAAGCCTTTTCGGAACACTATTCTCACTCGAGAGACGCGCAACGTCCGATTGCCCAATCGAAACGTGTGGCATTAAGTTTTTTTTTTCTTAAGTGGCATAATTTTATGGATGTACACGTCTTGTTAATCTGTCAAGCGTTTCAAGGATGACGTACTACACATCGACGGGTCTCGGTAATTTAAAGAAACCTCATCGGCGTACATCAAAATTTGAAATAAAAATATTTAAAGAGTAGCCCCCGCGCGGCCGACCGTCGGCGGTCGAACAAGAAAATATAAAACGAATGTTACAAACGTTGCTGCAGTCGTCGACGCGGTAGTCTTCTCGTTTTAGTACAACGCATATAATTTTTAGTATATTATTATTATAGAGCTCAGTGGTGCTGCAGCGGACAGGGTAGAAGAGGCAACAGTAGCAGCACACATGCACATTGTTACACAAAAAAGATACCACCGCAACCACCCGAACGGTGGTCGTCGTCATCRTCATGTTCGTGGTCGTTTATCGACGACAGCCAAAAAGACTTGTGTGGGCTTCACACGGTAAAAAATATGCGTTTAAAAATAAAAGACCCTACAATTTCGTCTGATCGCAACATGGGACACGCCGCTGTTCGTAAAAATAATAATAATAATAATGATAATGGATCCAAAATAATATGTATAACACAAGAACATAACCTAACCCAACTAGTGTGACGGCAGCAGCCAGCAGTGCACCGACGGCAAACTCTTGTGGCGCATTGGAATAATAACCAAGTGTGCTGCCAACGAAGAACCGGATATGCACACAACAGCTGGCACGGCCCGCATACGTTTGAAAAAAAGAAATGCAATCCAGTATTACCTCTGACGTCCATGATTACAAATCGTACGAAAACCGCGTTTTGACGACAATTTTTAAAAATTTAATAATTTTTACTTTTTTTGCCACCCGTTTTATCGATTTCGGTCTTTCATTTTCTTATACAGCCGAACAGCGAAGGTATGGCAATCGGYAACATTGCATTCGATYCCTTTTGGTATTCTTTTTTCAACAGGATATAGGGGTGGACGAAACAAATGTAATATATTACACACGCACTCAACAGCACGCCGGGTGAGTCACATGGACGGCTGAGTGGGTTCACACACGAAAACAAAAATAATAACAATATTATATCGTAGGTCAGAATTCAGATCGCTTGTGTAGCGGAGCATTTACGTTTGTCCTGAGCCCACGTGGCCAAGGGGCCTACCAGAGACTAACACTGACTATGTAATATATTACATTTGGACATATGACTCAATTTTYATTTTTTCMTGGACCACATATTTAGTAAATCAGGCTATGGTAGTAAGTAGAGTGACGTCCGTTGGAATTTAGTAAAAAATGGGATTTAAAACAAAGGTAGTCACCTTTACTCAAACGCGCAGTACGCCAGTATTTACTACCAAAAAGTGTATGYTAATAAACCAGCTACATACAACAAAGGTGGACCAAGGGTTGGACAATCACTGCGAAAAAAACCTAAATATGTAGAAGTGGTAAGGGAGAACGGTGTGATTTGTTATTGTTCAGTGCGTATTATTATTMAATTTTTRAAAATAAATATTGACTTCGCAAAACTATTGCATGCACGATTATAAAGTAAATCGCAAAATGGCACTCAGAAAATTTTGATTACGACACACAATTGCATTCCAAAGCGTTTATACGTTTATAGTTTTATACCCATTATAAAGCTGAAATACGAATAAAAAAATCTACTGATTAAACAAAGATTATCTYAGTTAGATACGTCGGTAGAACCTATATCATAATATAGCTGATATCTAATATTGTTTTTGCCGTTTTCGTAACARAAATACATTTTTTTCAAAGTAATTTTTTAATAACCGAAGTTTCTCGTTATTTAATTAATAATCCAAGCATATTCACTTACTCAGTTGTAATTYATCGTAACATAAAGTTATGAAACTTRAAATTATATTAGGCACTCATTTTATTATGTAAATTGCGAATATAAAATAAAGCGTAGAGAATACATTATCATCAGAAGGATAACACGCCATATACACAAACATACACRCCCACAGTAATAAATCATAGAAATACATTTATAGTTTTTACAACATATTGTCATATTGATGACCCTTATTAATGTTCCAATGCTTATGAATTATGATTGATAATCATAAATTGATAAATGTATATAATATAACTTAAAAAACGTCCTTACCAAGTGTCCCATTCCAATGGGTCAACTGGTTTTATAATAGCAACTTGGCACCAATCGTAAAATTGTCAATTAAAAATATCATATAATATTTAACATTATTATTATAAGTAACAAGTAATAGTATAAGTAACTACACCTCGTACCGCCGAGTCGACTGTAAATACCGACTACCAACAATGGCTAATATTAAAAGGTAGTGGGTGGATACAACGACTAGGATTTAGGTAGGGGTCAGTATTCCACAGATAACATTAGGCATTTTTAAACTCAAAACTCATTACGAGATCTTTACGTCGTCCTAGCTTTCGGATTTAGACCTGAATACCTGATTCGGTTGCGATCACGAGCGAATCTCAGACCAGTCACTGCAACACATACAATTTACATTATAATAACAATATTGTTATCGACAGGCTGTGGGGACTTGGAATAACGATATCGGTGCACTGCAAGAACACACATTGAAAACGGCGTGCGCCCAAAAGGTTAAAATTAGCATACGCGGGTCGGGGTCCCCCGACATTAAAACGTAGGCAGCGAAGGCGAGAAAACGAGCCTTGAAAAAATAAAAACAAGCTTCGCGCGCGATGCGTTTCATTTGTTCGAAATTAACTGATATTCGTACACGATAATATAATATTATGATAATAACAACGGATAGGCACAGAGTGCGATACACGATTACCCGCGCCGACCGCGTCGTCACCGTAATAACTATTAAAATAATA